CCAGGGGCATTAGCTGCATCGCTCGACCCAAGAGGCAACGAGGTACGTGATACGATAATAATTTCGTTAGCCAGCAAAAAAAACTATCTCCCCGCGACGAGAAGAACTCGAAATTACTTGCATAAAGGGTATAATGGGGTTGAGGGAAGTGACACGGTGCATCCCGTGGAGGCCTCGGCCGGTCTTTACTGATCTGCCGTGCTAAGGAAAAACGTCGTACGAGCCTTCGGGCGTTGCCAAATTTCCTTCAATAAATCGCGAATTTTCAGGAAAATTTGCGAACGTTTTTTCTCAAATTTTTCAGATAATTTTGTTCGCAATTTCATCTAAAATATCTGAAAATTTCAAGGGAAAATAAGCATAAATTTCGTCAACAATACAAGTTTTATCCAAGGAAATTTGGCAACTCTTGAATGTTCATACGGCGTTCTTCCTTAGCACGGCAGTGATCCACGGAGGTCCATGAAATGGACTACATTTTGCAATTAGGAACTATAAATTCTAGCCCGATTTAAAAACAACGTATATGCCATTAGTTTCCCTATGCACACAAGTGTTTTTCCAGAGGAGCCAGAATTTATAGTTCCAAATTGCAAAATGCGGTCCAAATATTAGTGTTCTCCCGTCGAATACCACGCTCTAGTTTTCCATGATGTCATCATGATTGAGCCGTCGCACAGTGGATCGAGTCAATAGGAGAGGTCAGACAAAATTTGAAAACTTTAAACGCTTTTAACTCCGTTTATACGAAACTCTGAAATTCTAAAAGTGGTTCCGTTGGTTTTCTCGTGAAATTTTCAGCCATAAGCACCCCTTGAAATTTAAAATATGACGAATGAACATCAAAATTTGCAGTTTTAGTCAACAATTTCATATCCGACCTCTCGACCTCTCTAATCAGACAAAATTTGGAAACTTTAAGCGCTCATAACTCCGTTAATACAAAATTTTGAGGTTTTGCAGGTGGTTTCATTGGTTTCCTCGTGAAATTTTCTGCCAAAAGTACCCCTTGCAATTTAAAATGTGACGAATGAACATCAAAATTTTCAGTTTTCGTAAAAAATTTCATATCCGACATCTCTAATTTACACGATCTACAGTGCGTCGTAACAAGTGGTAAAGGATGATTGGAATTTTCCACATTTTTGGTCGCTCTTTCTCACCATCGGAGCCAGTTCGTCGTGGAATTTTCACTGAGAAAGAGGCTTCACTGAGAATAAGAGTATCTTGGATCTCGAGTACAAACTCTTAAATCCAATTCACACCATCAAACTTTTCATCAAACTCTTGGATGCGACTTGTCGAATGAAAAGTTGAAAAAGAAGAAAACACGAAAAGTGTGATGCTGACGAGAGAAAACGACAATTTGATGGAAAGTTGAACGGAAAGTTGTAACGAAATCTTCCAACCGAAATGAGCCGAAGCTGTATCTTCGCGAACCGCAGATTGATGACGATATCACACTGCAACGGTGATTGAATCAATTTTTTTTGCGTCAAACTTTCCATCCAACTTTTCGTTCAATCATATCGGATGAATAGTTTGATAGCGTGAATTGGGCTTTACAGAAATTGACAAGAGAAAATACTTTTGATCCAATCTGATTTTTCTATTCTACGTACTTTTTGAAGCCAAATCCGAATGTTACCTATTCCATCACCAAAAGCTCATTTCAAAAATTGATTTTTTAGGAAAAGGGCCTCGACGGAACCCCATAAAAAACGAGATATTTATAGTCAAATTTCACCTGGAATTCAGCAATAACAGAGTGTCTACTAAAATTTAATTTTTGCTTTCCTGATATTTTCGACGAGATTTCCTGATTTTTTGACCGAATAAATTGACACTCGATTGATTTAAAAATTAACATATTTAACGAGATAAATCAAATGTTTGAAGCGCACTTTAAGCACTTAGAATTTTCTGAACAGAAGGGTGTCCACTAAAACAGGCTGGCCAAAAATCAGAACTGTTTCAGTACCTACTCAACAGAAAAATTCAGCACCTCCACTGGACGAAGATCGAAAAATTTCAAAAATTTGGATTTCTCGATCAAATTGCGACAAAAATTACAAAAAATGAAACAATTCCGGACCTTCATGCGGAATTTCCGCACTTTTTCAGTACTTCCGGACCGCCCTTCAAGAATCGGTACTTTTTCAGGACTTTCCGGAAAGTTCACTCTTGTAGACACCCTGGATCGATGACCAGTTTTCCCGATTTTTACTGATAATATAGCATTTCCTGGTATTTTCCGGTTTTCACTAACGGTAGACACCCTCCTTTTCGAATATACAGGGTGAAAATAATAAAACGAACTTCCTCGGAACATTCGCACGTCTACTTACACGAACAGCGTGGAACCGTAACGTGGTAACTCAGAGTACAATATAGTGGATCTCGACGCAAATATTGTACGAGCCGCTCGGATGATAACGATGAATTATTGGGGCCTGGTGACATGCTGCGATGCAATCTCAATCTATTTGCAAATGCAGGGCGCCGCCTGGTGCACCGCTGGGCTGTGCCCCCCCTTCCGCCCCCTGTAACCCCCCGTCCACCCCCTATAAACCCCCTCACCCCCTTCGCACACCGTGCCCAGGTGGGCGAGGGCCGGATACCCTTTTCCCATCGCCCAAATTGCTACGGTTCGCGGGCCCTTTGAGGATGGAACTCGATTGCGGTGTTGCCAGATTGAGCGCGGATCCCATTGTCGAGTGCGGCCGACGGACGTGTTTACCCACCCACGCTTGGTACTAACGGGATTGGTAGTAATTAAATGCGCGAAAATTGCTCCGCGATTGTGCGTAGTTGCCGCTCGGTGTGAAGAAGGATTTTGTAGAAAAATGTCGATCGTCAAAAAGGCCTTTTCGAAATAGAAAGAAAGCTCATTGAATTTGAACCCCGTTCAGCAGAAAGGAACCAAGCGACATCAGCTATTGCGGCAAGTTTTATCTGGAAATTTGATTGTTTACAAAAGAACTTATGAGCGAATTCCTTTGAAAATTTTTAGGTAATACCTTCGCACTATGCAGAAAATTCACCGAAATTCAATCAAAAATCCGCACAACCGTTTTCGCGTAAAAAAAATAAATTGCCCAGTTAAATTTGGCAATAGCTGTCCGTTTGATGGAGCATTGGAATAATTGCTGTTCGGAATCAAACGAGGTTTTTCCTTTAGAGAGCGTCCGCAAATGTTATGAGAATGATTTTGACAAACCTAGCGTACGCACTTAACTTAAAATTTTCAAAACCTGCAAAGAAAATTGTTTCCTTTCATTTTAAGTTGTCTGTGGAGGCAAACTATTGTAGTGTCTTGAAGGGAACCCTTCGCCAAGTTATAATGTTGAAAACTACTCGAGATTCGTTCTATTCCTTTTTATGATCCTGAGTCAACGATCTTCTTAAACTCCTCTTGATCACAAACTTAAACCGTGAGAAAAGAGGGTGTTCAAGAAACGATTAATGAAAACGGCCCTAATATCCCTATATGAGGACTTATCTGCAACAATAGCGGATGTGAAAAATTACCTTTTCGAAACACATTAAAAAAACTGTTTTGGCATCGAGAAAATTTTGAGAAAATACTTGAGATGTTGTCTTCGAGATCTGTACATTATGCCAGAGCCGAACATATTAAATTTTTGTGTGAACAAAACAGTTTTTTAAGCGTGTTTCTAAAAGGTAATTTTTCACATCCGCCATTGTTACAAATAAGGCCTCAAATGATAAAAAACGCCAAAAATTACAGACTTTTGGATTACAATTATTCCATTACGAGGCGGTATTCGCCTTTTTCGTTTTTCTCAATACCACTATTCTTTACCCACATGAAATCATTCCTGCTTAAGAGGCTTTTCGCATTCGTTAATGTTCGTAACACTAGAATGGGCAACATGGTAATCCACTGCGTCCATTAATCTCTTTCACCCTTCATTTGTGCTTAGCGATCAATCTGCTGATATCACAAATAAGCCTCCGAGTGTTACGGTCGTTAAGCGTTAATAAAGCGTCGCACTTCATGTCAAACGTTAAAGTTATTTTGTCAACCCGAAACATTGCCTATACTTATCTGACGTTATTTTCGATCCATCATCAAACGCGTGCTGTACGTGAGCTGAAAGCTGTAATTTTACAGTTGTGGGGGATGAGATCTCTCATAGATGGGTCAACGACCATTTCATCGCATTAGAATTTAGGTTGAGCTTGAAATTTTAGAAATCAGAAGAAGTACTTCCGATTTTAACTAAAGTCCAAAAGCAATTGAGGACCTATACATATGTAACAATACATATCGACGGTGAAACTACCAAACCACGTATCTCGTTTGCGGTGTTTAAAAATCTACGCTCACATTTTATTTTTTTGAAGTAGACCAAATCAATATCATTCCTTGAAATTTCAAGACTGGATGTTAAGTAGTTTTTCATTTAAAAAATAAAGTATGACAGGAAGTCTGCGACGTCGCAAACCGAGATACGTGGTTTGGTAGTTTCACCGTCGATATGTAACATACCTATGTATGTAACAATGGCGGATGTGAAAAATGACCTTTTCGAAACACATTAAAAAAACTGTTTTGGCATCGAGGAAATTTTGAGAAAATACTTGAGATGTGATCTTCGAGATCTGTACATTATGCCAGAGCCAAACATATTAAATTTTTGTGTGAACAAAAAAGTTTTTTTAAGCGTGTTTCGAAAATGTAATTTTTCACATCCGCCATTGTTACATATAAGGCCTCAATTGCTAAACATGCCTAGTTTCAACTTCATTTCGCGTAAGGTGAACATGCATCGTTTAAACTCTATTCCAAATTTGATACAATTTGATCAATTTTGGTCAAAATTGATCAACTATGGTCAAATTTAATAATTTGTACTCAAATTCAATCATTTTTGGTCGAATTCGATCAATATTGATCAAATTCAATCAATTTTGATCAAATTCAACTGTGATAGACAAATAGAAAAGACGATAATGTGTTGTTAAAAGCTTACCGCTCGGACTGGAACAACGGTTGACTTCTTGGTCTTCATCGCGATCGCTGAGGCTAAGTACTCTGATCCAACCACAGAGCACTATTGGCATTTTTCAGCCCTTCGCACTCCTGTAAACACACAACAAAATACCTAATTAGCAACCATTTTTTTCAATTTTAAGAAAGAAATGGAATAAAACATTAGATATTCTCAAGCACGTCTCATACTAGAAAACTGGTCATTAGTCGTTTAAAAACTCACCCTTTCATTTTTTCCTTTGGTTTTCTAAATTTTACGGGTCTAAGAATTTCAACATTAAGAACAAAGTTTTTCGCAATTGGACTTTATTTTCCATTTAGAGTTACAATTTCTGGCTAATTTATAAAAACACTTACGATTATAGGGAAACTAATGATACGTACGTTGTTTTTAAATTGAGCCAAAAATTGTGAGCCCTACCTACAAAATTAAGTCCAATTTTTGATGACACTGCTAAGACTCCAGAAACACTTTTATAGTTTCAAAAAAGTATCTCGAGTTCTATTCATTTGTGTTTTCCTGAGGAAACGAACGTTGCAGCTTTGATTTTTCTTGATATTTCCGCGCCGATCACCAATTATTCTGTAAAAACAAGTTTTAATGTTGATCCGTTTCTACTCGAAAGCGAAATAATATACCCGGAAATTGAAAATGATATGACGTGATATACGAAGCTCTGGACCTCTGGTGCGGGAAGGGTAATATTTGGAAAAAATTCTGCGATGGCCGGGAATCGAACCCGGATCAACTGCTTGGAAGGCAACTATGCTGACCATTACACCACCATCGCAAGTTGAGCGCCATGGGTTCAGGATAGATACTTAAACGGAGGAGTAATTATTTCATGATGAGCGATGCGTTTATGATAAGTCACGACCTGTGAGCCGGAAGATCTGCGAACTGGTGCGATGAGCAGTGACGAGTGCTGTTGATCCGAATGGACCACTAGACAAGGACGAATTTAAGCAATCTGATACATGTTTCTTAACCAGAATTTTACGTAGAACACGATTCACACAACGAAAATTACTGAAATATACTCCTAACGAAGATATTAACGATTTTATTTCACATTGGTTACGCGGATTTTGAACTGCCCGCTCACAAGAAACTCAAAGCTCTACGTGAGTCAAATCGCGCACTACAACGGTTTCAGCAAGCTTCTCAATCGAGCAATGCTCATTTCCCACCATGTGTTGTTCAAACTATAAGCAATTTGCTATAGCTGAGCCAAAGCGTCAAGACCGAGGTTGCCAGATTTTTATATCGCTGAGACGTTCATGATAACGTTTAGCGCGCGATGTGAATTACGTAGAGCATTGAGTTTTCATGAGCGGGTCGTTTCAATTCACGCATCAAGAATCATTAAATATCTTCGTAAGGAGTTAATTTCGGTAATTTTTGTTGTGCGCATCGTGTTCTACGTGAAATTTTAGTCAAGAAACATGTATCAGAATGCTGAAATTCGTACCTTGTCTAGCGGTCCATTGAAAGCGTAGTGGAGCCCCATACTGCCGCACTAACGGAAAACGTCATATGAACATTCGAGAGTTGCCAGATGTCTCCGGATAAAGCATGTATTTATGAGGGAAATTATACGTATTTTCTCGTGAATTTTTCAGATACTCTAGATTGAATGGAGATGTTGCATGTGAGAGGAATTTGCGATTTGACTGCTGATTCTTATGCAAAAGTTCGCGAGAAACACGATGATATGCCACTGGTTTTCTCTGAAATCAACTCTCCAAGTTGAGGGTAAAATGGAGGGGATATCCCACGCTATCCTGAGTGTCCACGTCTATATCAAGACAAAGTCTCCATGCAAAGATAGGGAGCAAATACATGCATTGGCAATGATACCGTGTTTTCAGTTGTGGAGTCCCCAAATAAAGTGGCAGCCCGGTCAATGTATTTGCTCCCTATCTTTGCATGGAGAGTTCGTCTTGATGTAGAGGTGGACTCTCAGGATAGCGTGGGATATCCCTTCCATTTTGGCCTCAACTTGAGAGCTTTTCTTTGAGCTTGGGAGTTGATTTTAGGGAAAACCAGTGGCACCATCGTGTTTCTCGCGAACTTTTACATAAGAATCAATAGTCAAATCGCAAATTCCTCACACATGCAACATCTCCATTGCAAAAAAAATTGTCTGAAAATTTAAAAAAAAACTAATGACAATTTTCGCAGTAGCTCCGTGTTTATTGAAGGAAATATGGCAACCTCTAAAGGCTCATACGGCGTTCTTCCTTAGCACGGCATCATATCGGTGTAATATATTTCGGTTTCTTCTCGAGCGATGTGTCAGTATTTGATTGAAATATCCCATCAAATAGTTAAAATTGCATTGCGCAAATGCTGTGGTTCCACTTAAAATATCTGAGATACCTAAAAATAGTAATACGTAGAAAAATCGCGCACGTTGTCCCACGAGGAAAATTCTTGCACGAAGGCGGATTTTCTTGCTTAATCATGCAAATTAACAGCGGGATGCTGCTCTGAGCAGTTTTGAATAAATTAAAACATTAACAGGATGTTCAAGCCCTTCAACGACCCCTCTCACTTGTCCCGAAGAGGAACGAGGGATAATCGTAATTCGAAACGGTTGATCAGAGGTCTTCATCGAGAGAAATTAACGTCGCAACAAAGTTGTGGGAAGGGGTATTAGTCGAAGGGGTTGGAATATTTTAAAACTTGGAGAGCCAAAACTGATATTTTGGATGTGCGAGAACGGATGACAAGACGACCAATTTTGCAAGGTTCGGGCTTCCTTGAGTATTGGGCCCCTTCAAATTGAGCAAATTACGGATTTACAGTTTTATTATTATTATTTTTGCCTTTTGTTTTTCAGACTTGATCATAAAAACAAACCAAAAAACGAGTTTTTTTAAGGGATTTTCATTTTAATCTTGGAGAGTCACATTCGTACACTGGAAAAAAAACACATTTCATCTAGAGTCCAGACTCTTGAAAACACTGAAAAGAAAAAATACTCTTGATTCAATCGGATTTTTGCTTGAATCAAAACAAAATCCGCTTAAACTAGGAGGCTTGGTTCTTGATTTAAGCTAGATTCTGATTGAATCAAGAGTACTTTTTCTTTTCGATGTTTTTAAGAGTCTGAACTCTGGATCTAATGTGTTTTTTTCCAGAGTAGGAAATAAAAAAGAATTGCTTTTGAAAAGAACTGCAGCATTCTCAGTTCTGGTGTACCTCCCGTCAGTGTTAAAAAATAGGGTTGGTTTTAAAAATACGAAATACACATATTTTACAAAGATTTTTGAAAAATCCGCTTTGAAAATTACTTTAAGCGTGTAAAACAAAAACTTTTAATGATTATATTTTTACACATTTGAAAAAAGTTCATAAAACTTTTATATTTGTAAAACTATTAAAGGATGGCTTAAAAAATTTTAATGATTCGTATAAACATAGGAACTTATTGAAACACATGCATGTCACCAGCATTATCTCCGACGATTTCTGAAGTATTTTTTAAGTATTTTAGTTTTCCTCGGTCTAAAAAAAAACATATTTGTAAAAATTTTATTCTTTGCGAATATATTTAAAAAAACACGTCTTTTGAGCGTCATTACGCTGTTTCGGACATTCTTCATAGTGGTAATTTTATTTTATTTTTTATTTATTTATTTTTTTTTTTTTTAAATACAAAAAAGAGTGGAAAATATGATTCACAGTAAGTATTTGACAAAAAAGCGCTGAGAGAACGCCGTTAAATCTTCTTCCAAATGAAACATAACTCGCAAGCAAACATTCGAAGCTCCCTCAAGGTTTCGTTCCCGACAAGTCGTGCGCCGCGCGTTAATTCAGCACTCTTAACTCGGCTAATTTTACGTATTCACCAAGATTTGAGCGATTGCGTCACTTAATTGGCAGCCTTTGAGATTCTCGCGACTCGATTTTTAAAGGGTGTAAAAGTAGGTTGGCGGGCGGGTGGCTGGCGGGGGCGCATTCCGCCGCCTCCACCGGAAAACAGCAGTAACTCCGCTCGCGGTCGTGAGCCACGGTTACCGCGCGTTCTCACGCGCTTCGAGGCTCAAGAAAGAAGAGTGTTATACTGCTCTCTTGCGGAGCATTCATCCACAGTTTGCATCAAATAGGCGCGCCTCGAGACGCAAGCAGCGCACTGTATTCAAATTAGCAGAAATGAAAACATACTTCAAAGACTCTTTCTCATTTCGGGTCTTCGGCGGGAGCGAATTACCGACTGAACAAACACAAGCGGAAGAGCGCGGCTGAAACGCAACACTTTAAAACGCGGGGGTGGGGCGGGGGAGAGTAGCGCAATACAGGGGCGAAATGAACTTTTCCGTTTATTTTTCTTCTTCTTTTTTTTAAAAAAAAAAATAAAACAAAAAAAAAACTCGTTTAAAGTAAATACGAGCGACACAAAATCAATCACTTTCACGATTACTCTTTTCATAAGTATTTAGAGGCAGAGGCAATTCAACTCTGGCAGTGTATGGGTCTATTAGTGGGTACCCGTTGATTTGCAAATGAGAGTTGTTACCATTTTTTTCTTCTTTTTTTTTAAAAAAAAAAAAGGAAAAAAAAATGTAAATTCGAGCGACACAAAATCAATCACTTCCACGATTACTCTTTTCATCAGTATTTAGGGGCACAGGCTATTGGTGGTTATGTTAGTGTATGTGTCAGTGGCGTGGCGTGAATTGCGATGTATCGATTGTTCTGTCAATTAAGTACACGGTAAAGAATCTATTATTAAGGTGATCGCTACGAACACCCTGTTTATCGATCATTTTCCATAGGTTTAAACGGCATAACAATAATTGATATATCGCAAAGCACGCCACGCCACTGGTATGTGTCTGTTTGTGGGTATGCGTTGATTTGCGACAGAGTGTTCTTATCAAAGGAGGACGTACCTATGTACAAGCGAATAGGTTTCTATTAGACGGGCGTAAGTCCAAAAACTGATGAACCCTATAGCGTCCGCCTGTATGATCGACGAACGCCAGGGATAATGGGTTTTTGGAATTACTCCCGTCCGACAGAAACAAATTCAAATAAGAAGGTCATATACTTTTGTCTTTTGAATTTACTAAAACAAATC